CCCCTCCCCCTAAGCGCAGCGCCTGGGCGAGATCGTTGCGCGCGAGGCGTGCCGCGGAAACAGCCGCCTGAAGCCCTACCTGGATTCGCTGCCCACGATGTTTGACCTGGGGTTCACCCTGGCGTGGGAGAGCTTCCCGAACGACTACATGCACCTGCTGCAGGGGGCGGCGCCGCTGGTGCGCCGCGCGGCCGCGGGGCGCGACGGCGCCCGGAAGCGTGGCCGGGGCGCGGCGCTGTGGGGTGCTGACTAGGAAGTGTCGCATGTGGCTGGGGGAGGGAGGGTCAGCATGAGCGCATTCAGCGCACTAGGCCGTTTGAACACTCTGGATACTTCACTAATGCCTCCTGGGCACGCCCGACGGCGCCCTGAAACCCAAATAACTTGCAGGCGGAGCGCGTGGTGTCAATGCAGGGCGCGACGCGGCGCTACTGGGCGCGCCACGGCATGAGGCTCTTGGAGGAGGGCGTCACGCTGCAGCTGCTGCGCCGCGCGCTGGTCACGGTGCGGGCCCCGCCGCCGCCAGAGCTCAGCCCAGCCCCGCGTCCCTGCCGCCCGCCCTTTCTCGGCTGCCGCTCTCGACGGCACGCGTGCGAGGAAGCGGGGGCTGCCGCTTGTCGTGCTGCTGCTGCGCTGCTAGCCGTGGCTCCAGGAACGGCGGAGCAGGGCCGCGGCATGCGGTCTGTGAGCGCCGGGAGTGCGTTCCCAACAATAAGAAACATTTGCTGTGCTTCACTGTTGCCCTGCCACGGGCTTTTGGCTGCTCTCAAGTCAACATGCAGGGAACTTCCACTTGTCCAACTCGTTATGAAAACCCCAACCCCTGGAAACCCTATCCGCCTGTCCCCAGATCATGACCCGTTGGTGCCAGGGCCCCGCCGGCGGTCTGGGCGGCGGCAACATGGCGCTGGTGCCCGCCTATGACATGCTCAACCAGTTGAGAGGCTTTCCCGGCAGCCCTGAAGGGGGGAGGATTTCACTTATGGCGGGTGCACAATGACTGCAAGGGGGGGTGCTTTCACGGGGGCTCTGCGGCGGGAGGGGCGGAGGGGTGCATGGAAGGGGCGGCCCACGTACACGGCCGCCTCCTGTCGATGGACGTGCTTGTGAAGGGGAACAGGCGCCATGACTCGGTCAAATGACGTGTACATTGCAGCATCATACCAACAGTGCGCCACTCCCACCGGCCCGCTGGGGCATGCTTGTACCCTGCTCTTACCCCCCTCCCCGCTCCCAAACATAACCGCAGCCGCAACGACTGCCCGGTCCACTATGACTTTGAGCCCTGCCCCCAGGCCGGCCGCGGCGGCCCCGCGCGCGCGACCTGCTGCGTCATCCGCACGGCGGCCCCCATTCGAAAGGGAGAGGAGGTCTGCCTGTCCTACAACTACCTGTCGCCCGATATGGCGCTCTTCCACTACGGGTTTGAGCTGCCAGATCGGGGGCAGCAGGCCGCAGGGCCGCCGGCAGCCCGCGCGGGCGGGCATTGGGGCAGCGAGGATGGGGCGGCAGAGGGGGTGCAGGCCAAGAGTGCGGCAGCGTCGCCGGCGCCGGCGCTGAGCATAATCGATACCCACGGGTTCGACCCCTCGGACCTGCGCCGCCCGCACGACGGGCCGCCGCCGGTTTTCCAAGGTGAAGAGGCTTGAGGGCTGCGGTGTGCTGCCAGTCCCTGAAACTGATATCGCTGATTTCCGGGGCCAGACGTGCTGCTGCGTCGGAAAGGCGGGCAGCAGTGTAGAGTCTGCAGGCGCGAGTCGCGCTGCTGGAGTGCGCTGCGTGTGGGCGTTGCCCCCGATTCCATTAGTCCACGGCGCGTCTGCTTTGTGATGGCCCCTGCGCACGCTCGGGCCGCATGTGCGAACGGCCGGCGCCATCTTGCAGGCGCACGCGTGCAGGAGACCACAGCCTCAGACCTGGGCATCTGCCGGCTCCTGGCGCCACTAAAATCCCCCCGGCCCCAAACGGCAGCGGCGTGGAGCGCCCAGGAGCAATTCACCATGTGAAAAGTATACGGCCCGCACCGCTCAGCGCTCAAAACCTACTACTTGCCCCCCTTGTCTTGGCCGCCCCACACGCCCACAGGGGGCCTGCCTGAGCTGCGGGCGTACCGAGGCCGCCTCCTCGCCGTCCTCGCCACCCTGCGGCAGCACCAAGCGGCAGCCGAGCGGACGCCGCCGTCGCCTGAGGACCCTGAGGGGCGCATCTTGGGCCAGCTCTTGCGGTGGCGTGTGGCGCGGGGGCGGGCGGTGGCAGCGGAGGTCGCGCGGCTGGAGGGGCTCATTCAAGCAGCCGAGGGTGGGACGGCGGCTGGCGCCACCAGTGTGACCTGACGCGAGGCGCCGCACATGCGTTTGCATATACCAGAATATTGATTTTCTTCCTTATAAACAGCCGGCTTCGCAAGTCTGAATGACGCAAGCTTGCAGGCGAGGCCGCCCACGACACGCTTCCGGGCGAGTCACTCACCCTTGTGCGGCGTGGCGGTGCGCCAAAGCGCACACTCTGCGCGGCGGGCCACACCAAATCTCTGATGCACGAATGCGGGTTGCGACCGGCCTTGTGGGTACCTGAGCCCCCAGTGGTGTTGTATACTTCATTTTTTGCAACTGGCATCACTCACGCGCCTCGCGGGTGCGAGGCTGGTGAGCCGCCGGGGCCGGACCACACCAGTCGGCTGCCCTGTGCTGCATCGCGTTTTGGGTGACCGCTCGCCCATAAACCCAGCAGCTTCGTTCACATGAGGTTGCACTTATGGGGGTTTCCGACACATGCCAAGAATGCCTCAGCGCCCATGCGGTCGCTTCCAAGCCGGACGCGTCACTGGCAAGACACAGGACATGCGCGCACGCATGGCGTGGCTGCGCGCCGCGCCCTGGGGGAAGTGCTGTGACGGCGTGGGGTGGGGTGAGGGGCGCGCCCCCAACCCCCGAGCTTTGAGCACACAACAATGTTTCTGCCTAACCGCATGCTGCGTGTACTGACCACCAACCCTGCAAGCTCCTGGGCTGTGATGAACACAATGTTTGGGTTTATGATCTCACTGCATACATTCAAACTTTTTTGCCACACATGGCATTCACCACGTCATGTGCCTGAGGCATCCCTGCTGTGCCAAAATCAATGCTTTTGGCAGTCTGCCCCGCATCTCGTGCGGCAAGCTCGGACACCAAGGTCAGCTCTCTGCTGTTTTTGGCCATCTAACCTGCTCTCACAACCAAGGGGCGGAAGGGGTTGGTGGTCAGGGGGCCGGCAGTGTAGCCGGTTTTTTTTAACTATTGTGGTCCCATAATCCTCTGGCCCGAAGGTGCACCTAGTCATGGCTGCGTGACTGCATTGCTCTCATACACATCCTGCAGGGACGCACTTCGCAGCCCGTGGGTGACCCAAGCGGCGCCAGGATTGGGTGCCTGGCTGCCTGCTGACTCGCTGTCTACGCGCCAGCATGCATATGACAAAGGCCCTTGACCTGCATTTGGCATTGAGCTGCACCGCCCACCACCTGTTGGTGGCAAGGATCTGCACTTTCTCACCTCAGTCCTGACTCATGACCTATCGTCCATCTTGTCGTCTCCGGCCCCCTCGCGCCTGCATGTATTGCCTGGCTTTGGATTTTTGTTGCCTAGCCAGCACGTGCCTCCGGCGCTGAGGATCAAGCTCAGACGTGCAAGAGCGCTTAACGCTACCCTATCACATGGCTGCTGCCCTTGCGGCCCCAGCGCGCCCGCATCGATCTGTCCTAGCCATCGGCATTGGCTAGAGCCTTGATTGATCTACCGGCCGCCCTGCACGGCAGGCTGCACGCGCTGCTGCAGCACGGCAATTCAACACCCATACTTCCTTCTCAGTCTGCGTGCCCGGTGTCCTGATTGCGCCTCCTTTGCCCCGCAGTCAAAGGTTGACCAGACGGTCTACCAAGGCCACAGCCACTTTCAGTGGCCGCTGGGCTTGCCTGGAGTCGGCACCCCTCGTTTGCTCTGCATGCACCGCATCCTTCCTGCCTTGGCTACCCGTCAAACAGGGCGTGCCTGCTGACCTTTGTTGTTATTGGTCCAATGACACCAGGATATCCCGTCTTGATTCATGAGACGGAAACACCGTCGGCTGCAACCCATGCAGTCGCGTGAGATTGCGCACTGAGAAGCATTTGCCCCACTGCACGGGTCTGGCGTCCCTGTGGGCCCGGCATGTTGGGACAGCCGCATGGCAGCTGCAGCGAAGCTCCTTGAGCCAGGGCCGCGACTAACCCGTTGGACGCGCTGTACGCATAGGCGACCGCATGTCCGAGCGTGCCTTTCGCACGCTGTAGAAAGGCCAGAACTTGGCAGCAAGGCATGACACCCAGCAGCTGCAGCAAATCCCCAACTCCTTGGCACCCACAGGCCCGCGGCTGCTGCGGCCACTCAGGCGCGACGCGCGGCACACAAAGGGAATCGCCCACCCCCGACCCCCCATTGTCAGCTCTTGGGACCATGCAGTGCTTACATTGCTCTTTCCCGTGCCAATCGCTTATCTACCTATGGCGTGCCAAAAAATGCACATCAATAATGCTGGCGACAGAGATGGATCTGGCTACCGGTATAACTCGCACCCCCCACCAGCCCTCCCAAACCTGCGCTCGCTGCGTGCCGACCATGGCGAAGCAGCGCCTGCAGCAGACACGGTTGCCTTGCGCAGCCGTTTGAGCGGGGCGGCGCGCTCCGCCGCCCTGCCGCAAGACTGCGCCTGACACGGGGCAGTGCTCGAGAGCGCAAGGGTCCCCCCACCTTCCTGCCTGCACAGTGCTGGCCCAACCCGCAAAGCTGCCATGCTGCCACAGGAACCACGAAAAACTTTGACCCCGCTGGCCGGACCCAGGGGCTGCCAGCCCTCGCCACAGCCGCGCACGGCGTCGCCACGCCTGCAGCCTGCTCACTCGTCAAACGTCTTGCGCGCCCCGCGCGCCGCGGGCACGCCGCGCAGCTTGGTGCGCTGCGGGCTGTCCTGCCCCTGGCCTTCCTCGTCGAACCGCGTGTGCGTGCCGCGCGGCGGCGGCACGCCGCGCAGGGGCGCGTCGGAGGCGGGCTTGGGGCCCTTGCGGATGTTCATGGCGCCGAGCGCGCCCGCCAGGTCATCCGCGGCCTGCGGGCCGTTGAACGTACGACGGGAAACACCGGAAATCGAATCATGTGATGTCGTGTTAGGTGTTTGGAGTGAGACTTATCAATCGGGAGGCTGCAGAGGGCTCCTGGTCGCCGGTCTGACATGGGAAGTGGTATCCGCCTGCCAAACCGGCCCACTGGCCGCAGCCCAGGCTGGCTGCATCGCTCACTGCAGTCGCGTATGTCGCTTTTCCAGCCCACCGTCCCCGGCGCTTGGCGTGTGCGTCCCCAACGCCCTGCTCCCCGCCGAACCCCCACCTTGCTCGCCGCTGGGTTGCGCCGCGCGTTCCACTCCGGCCGCGCGGCCGCCGGCGCCTTGAGCGCGCCCGCCGCCTTGGCCTCGCGCCGCGCGCGGCGCTCCTCGGCCGCCGTGCGCTGCTCCTCAATGGGGTTGTTCTCGTCGCCGTCCTCCTCGGCCGCGGCCCTGCGGCGTGCCTCGCCGACTTCCGCCGCCCCGGCGTTGGCCTGCTCGGGGGTCGGAGGGAGCCAGGGGGGGGGGTGTCTCTCCATGGCATGTGCAGGTGTGGATGTAAGGGCTGTTGCTGCTGTGAGGGAAGGCCTGAGCAGCAAGCGCCCCGCAGCACCCATGGCTTGCACGAGCTGGCATATGGTAGTACTGATCCGCAACCCAGCAACCAATTCGACACACTGCAGAGGCAGTCAAACGACAAAGGGCATGTTTGCAGCAAACTCGGCTGCCCGAGCGCGCGGCACCGAGCGCGCGCGCCCACCCTGCCGCCGGCCGCGATTGCAATCCTCTCCTCCTTCTCCCGCCTCCGCGCGTCGAGCGCCTCCCTCACTGTCTTCTTCAACGCGTTGAGGCTCGGCCCCGACGGCGCCTCCGGCACGACCACCACGCTGCGCGGCCGCAGCGCGGCCGCGCCCGGTGTGTGGCCCGCGCTGGCGGCTGCGGCCGCGGCGCGGGCGAGGGACGACGCGGTCGGCGCGAAAAGGCGCGAGGGGACGTGGACGGCGCCGCTGGAGCCGGAGGAGCGCTTCCTCTCGGGCGCCGGCGCCGGCGCGGGCGCGGGCTGCTGCTCGGGGGGCGACCCGCCGCCGGCGCGGCCGCCGGTGGGCGCGGGCGCGGGTGCGGCGGCGGCGTTGATGGCGGCCATGGCGGTGGCGGCCTTGGAGGCAGCGGCGCGGTGGGCGGACGTCGTGCGCGCGTCCTGGGGGTGGAAGAAGGTCGCACAAGGGGATGCAGGGGTCAAGAGGCGTTGCATGCACGTCAGCAGGAAGCATGCGAGGGCGTCCCTGGTGGAGCAGGGCGGCACTGCTGGGCGCACAGGTTTCTGTTACATATAGCAGGTCCCGGAAGTGCAAGCGCTGCGGCTCGGCCACCTCTGCTGCGACACCTTGGCGGCGGCGGCCCCCACATACCTTGACAAAGGGCGTGTGGCCGGGGCTGGCCGACAGCACCGCCGCAGCCAGCTCGGGGGCGGGCGCCGCGCGGGGTGCCTTGGCTGTGGCCGCGTTGCCCGCGGGCGCCCTGCGCGTGACGCTGGTTGTGGCGGCCGCCGCCGTCCGCGGCACGCCGGCCGCTGCCGCGCTCGTCGACACCGCCAGACGCGAGCCGCGCACGCCAGCGGCCGCGGCCGTCGGGGCGACGGCGGCCGGGGCGCGCGCGCGGGGCGCGGGGCCGTGGTGGGGCTGCGCGGGCGTGCGCAGGACCACTAGCAGCTCTGGGCTGGCTTCTGTGTCGACCGCTTGGCCGCCGGCCCCGGCCGCGGCCGCCACAGCCTGCTGCGCAGGGGCCGCTGACGCCGCGGCCACGCCCTCGGGCAGCGGCGGCGCCGACGGCGCCTCGTCGGCAAGCGGCAGCTGCGCGGGCGCGGGCGGCGGCGCCGCTACCTCCTGAGGGGACCCGAAGCCGGCCGCCCCCATGCGGTCCGCAAACGTCGCCGCGGCCGCCACCGGCGCCGGTGCCGGGGCGACTGCCGCCGCCGTGCCGCGCAGCTGCCGCGAGGCGTCCGGGTCAGTGACGAGCCCCAGCACAGGGGTCGCGTCGGGGGCGGCCTGGGGCGGCGGCGTGCCGGCGTCGGGGTTGGCCAGGATCTGGGCAATCAGGTCGTCGGCCCCTGGGCTGAACGAAGCTGCGGCTGCGCCGCTGCCGGGCGTCGCGCCGGCGGCGTCCGCGGCAGGGGTCCAGCCGAGCATGGCAGCCAGGTTTGTGGGGCGCAGGTCATCTGAGGCCGCCGTCGCGCCGGCGTCAGGGGGCGACGCGCAGGGCAGCGTGCCGGGCTCGATGGGCGTGAGGCCTGGGATGGTGCTCGCCGTCGGCGGCGCCGCGGGGGTGGCTGCGGAGGCGGCGGGGAACGCGCCGGACAGCAGCCGCGCGGGCGTCGGCTTGGTCACGGCGGCCGGGGCCGACGCGCTGCTCTCATGCACCTCCGCCTCTTCCTGCGCCACAGCCCCTTCCTCCTCATGCGCCTCCTCCGCCTCATCCTCCTGCTCATGCTGCTGCTGCATGTGCTGTTCCTCCTCCTGCATGGTCTCATCCTGCTCCTGCACGCCCCCCTCCTCGCCCGCTGCCGCATGCTCAGTGCACGGCACATCCGCCTCTTGCTCTGGTGCCGCCGGATCCGTCGCTGCGGCGACGCTCTCTGGCGTTGCTGCAGGGTGCTGGAAGGCCTGCAGCTGGTCGACTGGGCCCGCTGTGTCGGCGGCTGCCGCGGCAGCAGGCTTGCACGCCGGCGTAACCTGCTGGCCGCGGGGCGAGGTGGTGTCGGCGTCGCCGACATCCTGCGGAGGCAATGATGGTCGGCGGCAGGCGCAGTGAGCATTCGTTCTGACGCGTACGAATATATATATATATATATATATATATATATACGAATAGATAGCAGCACGCATCTGACGCTCAGAGTGCCCCTCCCCCCGAAACAGCACCCAAGGGAAGGCACCTGCTTGAAAGGGGTGGTGCCATCGGACGTGCCCCTCTTCTTCCTACCAGCAGGGGCGGTTGCAGCTGCGCGAGGGGGAAGGGCGGCGAAGAGGGAAGGAGTAGATCAGCACGCTGCACTCCCCAGCCAGCCCACAAGCGCGATGCAGCGTCCCAGCGCACTCACGCGTGAGCCCGCGTGCGCGGCTGCGCGTCACGCGGCCGGTGAAGGTCCCAGGGTCCATCCTGGCCTCTCCCCAAGCTGTCGGTGAGGTCGATCAGGCCTGGTGGATAGCTACGGGGCGTTTCGACAATTTGAATATGTTTGGAAGGATGCAGGCCAATCGCATTTGGCGGTGGATGGGAATGGATGGTTCACTGGCAACGGCGCAATTTGAACGAGCCGCAGCAGCTGCGGCTTCACCGCAACTGCCTGAGGCAATTAATGGGGGTCTCACCTCAGTGGGTGTATCTGATGTGTGTGTTCCATTAAGGTTCGATTTTTCAAGTTGTGTAGCTTCTCCACAAGTAGGGCGCCGCTTGTGGTTGAGCAGCATCGCGCCACATCACGAGCAGTCCTTCGCAACGCAGCCCGCTACGTGGTGCGGTAAGCACAAGCGTGGGTGATCACGGTTAAATTTTAAAAATCACCATAGTTGCACTCATATGAGACGCTGCCAACACTACATATGCCCTGAATGTGGTACACCGGCACGAGTGACACATGTGCACCTGCGCTCAAAATGAAGCACGGCTGCGCGCAATTCAATCGACTACAAGATTGAGACGAGAATATTATAGCATTGTGTAGTGAACTGAGCGCTGCACCGAGGACGGATCCGTCCGCGAGTCCAATCGCTCGTGCCACAGTGCAGCAGGCTTGTTTGCATGCGCAAATGATGCGGCCACGAACATGCCATGCGTCAGCGCACTGCGTTCAGGGATGGGGCCCTTCACTTCATGCCTCCGCTGCGGTTGCGGCACGGGCGCGGCGGCCGGCGGTCCGTTGTGCAGCAGCACGCGACGTGGTGCCCCCTTGGTGAGCTCAAAGCCCGCGATGCGGTCAATGCTGCTAATGCAACGAGCCACATCAAGCCGTGTGCGCCTGCGCATGGCATGGTGGCTGTGCCCCATCAAAAACCGCACCACCAATGTCCAACCTGGCCCACACCCCCAGCATAATCCTTGTCAACACGACGATGGGCGAGAACATTGGGTCGGCTGCTCGGGCAATGAAGGTGCGGGTGGGCGGCTGCACCCGCAGGTGCCCACCCGCGCGTGTGCAGCAGCAGCGCCCGACGCCGCCGCGGGCGCACCTCACATGTCCCTCCATTTGCCGTCGTCGACTGACGCCTGCACCAGAATTTCGGACTGTGCGACCTGCGCCTGGTGGCGCCGCGTGATGGATGGCCCAACCCCCTGGCGGTCGCCACGTCAGGTGCGGCCCCACCCCTCCTCACAACTCCGACGCCCGCAACACACACCGTCTGCTCCCTACCCTGATGGCCGCCGCTTAGGGCCTGCTATCGGCCTGCAATCTGCATGAGTCCTCAGCACAAGCAAAGAATTCTCTAAGCCCAACCTCACTGAGCGCCAGGCAACTGCTGGTTGCCATTGGCCGCTGCTGGTTTTGATGGCGACCAGCAGCGGCCACCGCGTACATTGAGCGACACCCCCCAAACACACCCACACACTCTCCCTCTCACACACACACACCGTATCATCGCCCCCATTGTGCAACGCCCCCGTCTGACCACGTCTACCCGTCCAGTCGGCGCCTCGGATCTGCTGGATTCAGCGCGCCTCTGCAGCTCCCTGGCAGAGGCCACCGCCGACCTCACGCACTTGTACGCCGCGACGGCGCGCCGCCGCTTCATGCACAAGGTGGGGCAGAGCCTGCGTATCGACCCCGTGAGGGCAGGGCACACCTGTTGTGGCCCTGCAGTGTGCTTTCACCTGTTATGATTGCGGCTCGCAGTGGGCGGTCACCCGCAGCGTTCCACATCCTCTGCTCCGCTGCACTAAGTACTGCCCTCCCACGCCGGTGCGTGAGCGCCTGACTTATTGTGAACACCCGCTTCGATCACCCCAGGATTATGTCATGACGCGTGACCTCAAAGATGACTACGCAGAGCATTTCCTGCCGTCACCCGGGCAGCATGGGGTACCTGCGCAGCCACATGGGGATGGCGGCAGCAGCGGCGAGAGCGGGGCCGGCAGCACCTCTGGGCTGGGAGGTGGCGAAATTGGCGGGGCGGCGGCGGGGGCGCCGAGGATCGGTCTCATGTTTGGGCGCGAGTCGTCGGGATTGACTAATGAGGAGGTGGCGATGGCAGGTGGGGCGTCTGCGGGGCTGGGGATGGCGGCCCATGCAGCCAGCCTGCGTTGTGCCGGCAAACACGGCCTCAGCTGCGCGCTGGCGAGGCTGTTCTGGATCTGCCTTTACCTGGCAGGGCCGCAGCAGCTGCTCGCCAGTTTGATCCTCCGACAGTAAGCTTCAGCGGCGCGCCCCTGCCACATGCGATTGAATCCTGAACGGCCATGGTTTCCTTTTTAGGATGAGCTACCAGGCTGACCAAAAACGCAACGCGCCGCCTATCCACATGTCGCTGTGTGCAACCCCAGGGAAGATTGTGGTGGTGGACTCGGACCCCGATTTTGCAGTTCTGAACCTGGCACAGGCCGTCCTCGTCTGCTGCTACGAACTCTACCCCCTCTGGCGGCGGGAACTCCGCAGCCCTTCGAACACCGTGAGCGGCGCTACTCCCGCCGCCGCCAAGGGGGCCCCGGGGCGGCGCTCGAGTGCGGCAGCAGACAGCGGGTCGATCTGCGACGCAGACAACCCGGGGTACGAGACCAGCGGCAGCAGCAGCGACTTTGATTTTGACCATTTGAGGGGCGCAGACGGGTACGGGAGCTTTGGGGGCAGCTCGGACGGCAGCGGCGGCGATGGCGGCAGCATCCGAGGAGGCGGCGTGGGTGGGGTCGAGGACACCTTGGGGTCCCTGCAGGGCCCAGCGGCGGCATCCACGGGGGCGGTGTCATCAGGGTTGGCGTCGCGGCCAGACCTGGCCAACGCGCAGGAGCTCGCGTCCATGGCAGACTCTGAGGGTTTCCTGCAGCGCCTCTTTGCTGAGCTCGACGCCGCGGGTGCGCGTGGGGGGCTATCGAATCATATCGCATCGTCGCAGGCGGGGCGGGGTGTGCGGGCCAGCAGACTGCGCCGAGGGCTGGAGTCCAGCTGGGCGAGATCCAGGCCGGCGCAGGGCCGGCGGACTGCCTCCGCTCGCCGCGAGAAGGGAGGATCCTGAGCGCGTGTCGACTCTTTGTTGACGTTGAACCCATTGCACCCTAAAATTTCTAATTCGCACAGGGTACTTTGAGGTGGAGACCCGCAAGCCTTCGACACAGGTGCCCAGCAGTCGGGGGGGGGGGGGGGCGCACCC